TTTGTCTCAAAATAGAATTATGATTTGAAAATAAAGTTGTACTTTGAGTTTGTGAGTTTTGGAGTTATAATTTAAAAAAAGGAAATTTATTTAGTTATGAGTTTTGAGTTGAGTTTTGAATTTTTGATATGACATATAAAATGAGAAAAGTTATTTAATTATGAGTTTTGAAAAAAAATTTCAAAACTTAATTAAAAATCTTATAACTCATAACCAAACACACAACTCAAAATTCTATTAAAAACTCTATTCAAACTCATAACCAAACCCTTTTTAAAATTCAATTCAAAAAACTAATTTGTTATTTTGGTCTAAAAAAATAATTTTTATATTTTAAAAATATAAAAAATGAATAGAATTTTTTTTTCCAAATAAAAGATGGCAATTGGCAATTACAAAAAAAAAATTGTACTGCTCCTATCAACCGGCCAATCGACTGGGAAGATGTCCAGGCGAACGATCGAATAGATCAAAAATTCAAAAATTGTGTAATATAACAAACATGTTTTCAAAATGTATTTTGAAATTGATTTGGAATTATGATTTGAAAACTTGAACCAAACATTGCATTAGAACATAAATGTGGAATTAGTTTTAGAAAGCTGCTTCAAACACATATATTTTACCTTTTGAGATTTTTAATTACATAACAAATTACTTCTTTCTTAACAAAATGTAAAACATAAATAACAAAATTTTAAAAATATAAACACTTCATGGTTTTTGTTTTTTCTTTTTTTCCCATCATCTCACATTCTTTATTTCCTATTATCTTTCAACTAGTAGTACACTTTTATCTGACTATCCATTCTCTCTCGGTCTCCATCAACACCATTGTCATTTGTGTGTTGTTAAAAAGAGTTGGAGAATATTGTGATGATATAGATAGCGAAATTCATTTAGGGCATGGTTATTTTTAGAGGTAGAATAAAAGAGATTTATAGTAAAGAAATTAATAGTGAAAAATTGTTAAATTATTTTTATATAAAATAACAAAATAAATAAATATAAAAAATTAAATATTTAATATTTTAAAAAAATTCTCAATATATAAAAAATAAAAAAATTTCTAATCTCCTCACTATTTTTCTAATACCATCTCTACCTCTTCATTCCCAATCCTCCTTCCAAGGCCTTTACTAATACAAAGGGATTAGGAGTCCCCCCATCTTTAAAACAAACACCTCATATAGTAGTCTCACTTCACTATCAATTCCAATCCCCTCCCTATAACCCCAAACAAACGGGGCCTTAGTGATAGGCGGATGATAATAATGATAGTATGATAATTTTATTCTGGTATTAGAAGGTATTTAGTTGATTTTATTTTTTTGTTGGATGGTCCTAGAAAAAATTATGACAATGGAATATTTGTATAGACCTTATGATAATTTAATGATATTTTTCATCAAATACTATTAAAAAATGTTAATAATTGTTAATTTCAATGACAATTTAAAAATTTTGTCAAAAAAATGTTACTAATTATAAGTTTTAGTGATCATTTAAAAAAATTATCAAAAAAATATATTTTTAGTGATGATTTTATTAAGATTAACTTTCAATAAGAATTAAATCTAACTAATAGGACCTATTAATAATTTAACGAAGAAATTTTTTTTTTTTTTTGGACAAACCTCATAGGGTGAATTTGTAGTTTACCTTATTATTAAAGTCAAATTGTTTTTAAAATTTATTTCTTACATGAAGTTATTGTTTTAAACTGTGTTTTAATGTTAAGATGATTTTCAAAAAGTTTTTACAATGAATTTAATTAAAACTTAAAAATTTTCGTAATAAATGGAAATTGAAGTCAATCGAAAATTTATGAACAAAACACCATTTTATAAAGGAAAATGTTTGAGAGCCACAATTTTTTGTGGTCACAATGGCTCAAAATTGTCAAAACGACGTCGTTTTAAGTGTAAAACATGCCAAAACGACGTCATTTTGATAATTTTGAGTCATTGTGACCACAAAAATTATGACCTTCTAGTATTGTTGTTTTATAAAACAAAATAATTTTTTTTTTTTTTTTTGAGAAAATGAATTCTCACCGGTTCCGCATTCACTAACACGTCTTATCATCTCAGTGACACAAAAAGTTGATGTTGTAGGATTTAGATGATTTTTGTAAAAAAAAATTAACTATTAACTATAAGAGATTATATGATTAAATTATATAAAACATACTTGATTTTTTTTTTTTTTTGGAACGGATATAAAACATACTAGATTGTTAGGCTTTTTTAAAAGATTACTAATGTACAAATAGGAAAAATATATAAAATAATGTGGTTGCATTGAGATTTATTATTTTAAAATAAAATGCCAATTTAAATGATATCTCACATTATTTAAGTAAAAAAATATATTTTTTTTTTGTAGGAATATAACATTTTTTCCCATTAAGAACAAATATGATCCAATTATGTTAATTTTAATGTCAAATTATTATTATTATTATTATTTCTTCTCAATGAGTTCTACAAAATATATATTTTAAGTTCGTTTGAGAAGTGGGTTGACTTTTTAACTTTTTGATTTTTTTGACTATTTTAGCCTAAGGCTAAAAAGTTTGGTTTGGGAAGAGCTTGGTTTTTTGGTTTTTTTTTTTACTTTTTTTGGTTTTTTTGACTTTTTTGTAAGAGGAATAATATAATTATTATAGGTTGGATGTAATGTTTTGTCTTATTAAATTAAAAAATTTATTTTATTTTTAGTGATTAAAATAACCAAAAAAGCCCCAACTTGTGCTTCGCAAACGAAGCCATATAAGTAAGACTTCATTTGGGACCTCTTATAAGTCCACTTTGGGTTTAGAAAAAGGTAGAATTTATTTTAGGTTGAAATTTCAATATGAAAGAAATTTGAAAAAATATTCAAATCATTTGCCATACTCATTTTTCACTAGGAGCATCTCCAACCCACCTTCTATAACTTCATATTTAAAAGATTTGTTCCTTGAACACATTCTCTAAATTCATCTCTATTTAGAAGGAGGATGAAAAATAGAGAATTCCCTCTAAAATACTATTCATTGTATATTTTTTATTATATTACAAATAACTTTTAATATGTAAATTTAATTTTTATAAAATTGGCATCATTAAAAATGGTGAAATCATACATTTAAAATGAGTATAATATTAAATATATTTTACAAAAAATGTCAAAATTAAATATTTGTTAATGAACAAAAATTATTTACTTTTTGATGAAAATATTTTCGAGAGAAATTTTTAAAGAAGAAAATGATGATTCAGGATTGGAGTTTGAGTGAATGGTGAAATAGTCTATATTCACTTTTTGAATTAAAAAAAAATAAAAAATTCATCCTCTAATTAAGAGAGTTGGATTGGAGATCAACATACTTTAAAAAAATCATCAAAAATGTTAAAAATTAAAAAAGAAAATCTCAAACTGATTAATTTTTTAAAAGGCAACTTATAAATTTATTTTAAATTAAAATTTGGCTTATAAGTTGGAGTTTGCTTATTTGATTTTTTGTTTTTTTGGTCTTTAGTGATTTTTTTTTTTAAAAAAAAATTTGAAAGTTTTAGATTTCTTGATTTAACTCAATGAGAATGAATTGAAAATTTAAAAAAATTTAAAAACATTCCAAAAAAAAGAAGACAAAAATAAAGTCAATTTTTTTTTATAGAATTTTTAAAAATATTTTTATTTTTAAATTGTTTTATACAAGATGGATTGGGGAAAAAAAATTTGACATAATTTTTTTTAAAAAAATCACTAAAAATAATTAAAATTAAAAAAAATATTTGTTTTGGTATTCCCAAACACTTCCCTGTGGCGTAAATTCGAAATCCACCCATCAAAGCCCAACAGAACCTCAACGTAAAGTTAAGGGTTCCTTTATGATGGTGGTTGATTTTTTTGTTTTTTTAAGTTTATTTTATTATTTTGTGGTTAAAATAATCTTTTACCACAAAACTTGCTATGCCAAATGATTTAGGTCTTGTTTGAGAATATATTTTTTAATAAATTTTTTGATTAAAATATAAGATAAAAATTATAATATATTTAAAAATTAAATTTTAATTTTTACGGAAAAAAATGTGAAAAAACAAAGATGAATGAAAAGATACTTGCATGCACCAACAACATGAGAGAATCTTATTTGAGATTTCATGTCATATATTGGCCTGTTTGGCAAGTTGGGTTTTAGTTTTTATGGGTTAAAATTCAAAAAAAACAGAAATAAAAATAAAAATAAAAATAAAATAAATTAAAATAATTAATATAATAATATGCCACATTAAATTTATAATCGTTTTATTTTTTCACTCACAAATATCACATTTAACTATAAAAAAATTCAATCATCTTTTAAAACACAAAAATTTTAACTCATTAAAATAATTAAAAATTAAAATAATTTACTAAAATACCCATCTTCCCATAGGAGTCATTAAAAAATGAGAGTGAGGTAGTTGCTACACCATTTTTTTTTTTTTTTGGGCAAATTACGTATATCCCATCGAGATTTGGTTAAATTACAAATATCTCTGATATTTGAAAAATTACAAATTTCTTCCTGAATGCTATATTTGTATAACAAATTATGGGGTAATTTGTTATGAAATATAAATCTCATGTGGCAAATTGTTATGAAAATACAAATCTCAAGGGGCGAGATGTAATTTCCAAAAGAAAAATGTTTGGTGGCCACAAATTCTGTGGCTCAAATGGTCCGAAAATGTCAAAACGATGTCGTTTTGAGATTTTTAGAGTTATTTTGTACCCAAAATGACGTCATTTTGGTATTTTCAGCCCAGTTGAGCCATAAAATTTGTGCCCACCAATCATTGCCCTTTCCAAAACCTCAGAAGAATATTTGTAATTTAGTTAAACCTCGAGGGAGGGAGGTATTTATAATTTACCCTTTTTTTTTCAATCATCAAGCTCTCTATGTGTTGTTTATCACTTCAATTCAATTCTATCATATGGTTTTTTAATTCCATCTTATATATATGCGTTTTGAAATTCCATCTGGGGTGATCTGTGAAAACTACAGTGACTTTCACTAGCTGATGAACTTCCCATAATTGTATGTTATTGACTCATCCCTTTCTCTCAAATTTGCTTTATAGTCAAAACTTAAGTTCTTGATAATGACCCTATAATGGCCCCTTTTCCCTTTGGCTTTTCTCAACCCATATAATACTCATTTCACTGTTATGCATCCATTGATGAGAAAGTTTTGTTAGATCTGGAGATTTTGGATTTAGATAGCGATTTGAGCAAAAGGGTACGTCAAAAAGTGGAAGATCAAAATGTCTCTGTTTATGGAACCAAACTGGGTTTCATTCAATCCATCATTGAATTGATAGAGAAGATTGATATTCATGGACTACAACCCTCATTCTCTCTCCTTGTCCTTGTGTGTTCTTCTTCTTGTTCTTGTTTCTGGTGTGAGATCAGGGGATTTTGAATCGCTTTTGAGTTTGAGATCTTCGATTGATCCTTCGAACTCGTTGCAATGGCCAGGAAGCGATGTGTGTAGCTGGGAAGGAATTAAAGAGTGTATGAATGGAAGAGTCACGAAGCTTGTGCTTGAACACTTGAATTTGAGTGGTATATTGGATGAGAAATCTCTGAATCGATTAGATCAGATTCGAGTTCTGAGCTTCAAAGGAAACTCCATTAATGGTCAAATCCCAGACCTCTCTGGTTTACACAACCTCAAATCACTCTTCCTCAACGACAACAACTTCTCCGGCGACTTTCCGGCCTCCGTAACCCTCCTCCACCGCCTCAAAACCATCGTACTCTCCGGAAACCTAATCTCCGGCGATATTCCATTCTCTCTCCTCAATCTGCGCCGACTCTACGTTCTCTACTTGGAAAACAACTTGTTCTCCGGCCAAATCCCTCCTTTCAACCAGTCCAGCCTCCGATTCTTCAATGTCTCCAACAACAACCTCTCTGGCGAAATCCCGATCACTCCGGCACTCATTCGCTTCAACATCTCATCATTCTCCGGCAACAACATCAATCTCTGCGGCGAACAAATCCACATTTCATGTAATAACAGCAGCCATGGATTATTAGCTCCGGGTCCATCGACGAGTCCGGCGCCGCCGCGGTCGAACCACCACCGCCGGAGGAAAAAGATAATAGCGATAATAGCGGCGAGTGTGAGTGGATTATTTATTGTATTATTAGTCCTCTGTTCAGTATTTTTCTGTTTGGTTTCTAGGAAAAGGACAGAAAACAGGGGAGAAAACAGAGGCGGTAAAATCGCTGTTGTTGGCGACGGCGGCGGCGGAGAAGTGGCAGTGGTGGAAGGGGAAGGGAGTGGCGGCGGTGGCGGTGATAGAAAACAAGGGTTTTCGTGGGAGGGAGAGGGGTTGGGGAGCTTGGTGTTTTGCGGAGGAGGAGGGGAGGAGGAGATGAGTTATAGCTTGGAGGATCTGCTGAAGGCGTCGGCGGAGACGCTGGGGAGAGGGACGATGGGGAGTACTTACAAGGCGGTGATGGAGACTGGGTTTATTGTGACGGTGAAGAGGTTGAAGGATGCTAGGTATCCCAGACCGGAGGAGCTGCGGCGGCACATGGAGGTGCTGGGGCGGCTCCGCCACCCCAATATTGTTCCGATTAGGGCTTATTTTCAGGCTAAGGAGGAACGCCTTCTTGTCTATGATTACTTCCCCAATGGCAGCCTCTTCTCTCTCATCCATGGTATGATATGATGCTTTCATTGCTGTCTCTCTCTCTCTGAATTTTTGTTATTTTTTTTTATTATTATTTTTATTTTAAGTGGTGATAATATTGATTTGTTTGAGTAATTTGGAAATTAATCAGTTAGGATTATTGGGTTAAAAAAAAATTAAAAGACAATTTTTTTCTTTGTTTCTTTATTTAGGCCAAGTTTGGCATGAGACAAAAAAGACAAAAAGTTAAAAAGTCACTATTCTATTTAAATCACATCATCTTATTTAAGTCACATTACCTTTCTAGCACATCACTTCAAATCCAACCCAAACCCAACCCATATTTCATAAAAAGTCAAAAAGTACACTTATTTAGTCTTCCCAAACTAGCCCTTAATATACAGGCCAAAAATTTTAAATGTGGTTATAGAAACATGCAGTGTTTATTTATTTATTTTTAAATACATACTTGAACAATGTGTGGTTGTCTTCAACCGAGAACTTGTGGGTGTATTTAGGGTAAATTACACTGATATCTCGTGAGATTTAGGAAAAGTGAAGTAAGTCTCATTATTTTAACATAATTATATTAAGTTATTTTGAGATTTTAATTTAGGATTTAATTTTTTTTAAATTGTCATCTCAATTTGAGATAGCGTTTGGATTTGGTTGGCTCATTTTTGAACTAATTTTGGTGATTCAAATCGTTCACATTTTAAGACTAGTTGGGTATAATATTTATATAAAAAATCAAAATGGTTGGATATTGATAGCTATATGTTTAAATCATATTTGTTTTTAAAAAATAGACGATAAATATAATTTCAAGAATAATTATTTATTTTTTTATAGCAATACAAATTTGATTCAAATATATAATTATTAATATTTAATTGTCTTGATTTTTTATATGAATATTTTACTTAACGAGCTTAAAGTGAACGGTTCGAATTATTAAAGTCGTTGACGAAATAGGCCCTACCAAGTCTAAATATTTTCTCAAGTTGAGATGACCAACATGAGAGAAGTCTAACCGTTTAATTTATATAACACTTAGTTCATTTTTATCAATAATTTGTTAGTTATATGGATAACAAAATGATATTGTCATATCTTTTATACGAAAATGTATATTTTAGGTTGTTTATTTTGTATTTTCGCACTATTTGAATTAGTTTTGATTCATTTAACCTTACTAAAAGAGAGATTAGTATAATTTACCTGGATTTATTTCATTTCAATGCATACATGAACAATGTGTGACTGGTTTAATTTGAACTGATGACCTATGAAAGACGGTGCCTCAAACTTATGGGTGTATTTATTATTGATCACATATATTAGGTGTATATGAAGAGGGCGCCTCACGCAATTATGCACTTGCACAATTTTCTTACGTAGGTTGTCTTTGATTTTGTGATAGAGATATGTACATTTAGAATTTTTCATATTTGGTGCATGCAAAGCATTCGAAATCTGTTGGGAGATGTTAGAGCTGCACTAAAAGTCCAAGGGGCTGCAATGAACCTACAAGGGTAGTGGAGAGAATAATCTTTGAAATAGATATTTTTTTATTCAACAAAGATTTTAATACATTAGCTCCACAACTAACTATATAGACCTAATTCTAGAATACAATTGGTACATTGTATTGTATGTTTACCTAGAGGACATGTAGTCTAAGAAGTAGTAAGACTTATTGACTAATGTTATTTTAGCACATAGTATAAATAAATTTAATGATCATACCTTTTTGCCACATTTTAATATATAGTTAATGTGTCACTTTACGTGTAGATAAAATGTGATAAAAGAACACCATATTCCTTCACTTATTCCAATCGTACTCTAGCTGTACTAAAATTATGTTTGGGAATTGGTTAAAGATTCATTCTCATTCTCTCTACTTTTTTACACGTCTTTCGTAAAAAGTAAAAAACCACTTCTCAAACGAATCCTAAATAGCTTGTGGCTAAAACGGCTGATGATATCATAGCTTATATATTCTACGATCTATGGAATGGCTTTCATCACCTCATAATTTGCCATATCTTGCTGCGACTTTGTTCAGTTTATTGCTTGTGTCTCCTGGCCTTATCATCTCACATGTCGGCCCCTCATTGGCTGTTACTTGATGAAACATTTTGATTATATGTATGCTCAATAGGTCAGTTGTGTGCTTTTGTGATGAACCTTTGTGTTCAGGTTCTAGGTAAAGTTGCAACATTGCGTCTTCAAATATAACTAAAGTAGTAAGTTTCGAAAGTAAAACTTGTAAGCTACATAGTTCTCCTTCTTGGATCAATTATTCATAAAGAAGGAGAAATTGAGTATGTTGCCTATAGAATTAGAGCGGATTGATCAAATGGGGAAATCCAGGTGATCATAGGATTTGTAAAAATTAAATCAGGAGAATTTTTTAATAGAACTGCAATAAGGCATGCTATAATGTATGGTACATAATGTTAGACGGTTAAGAAACAGTATGTTTAGAAAATAAGTTTAGTTTAAATAAAAATGCTAAGATGAATGAGAGTTATTACAAGATATGATAGAGAATAAATCTATTAGGGAAAAGTTAGTAGTGACACCAATTGAGGGAAAATAATTTGAGATGGAATGAGCATGTATGTGCATTGTAGGCCAATTAATGCAATTTCAAAGAGGAGTGATGCAATCCAAGTATAGGGTGGTAAAAAAAAATAGAGGAAGTGCAAAAAAAGCTTTGGTTGAAGTGATAAGGAAAACATGATTGCCTTGAAATGAATCCATATAACCGACCCATGTAATTGGGACAAAGGCTTGCTGAGTCGATCATGTGATTTATTTACCACCTTCCACCATTGGTTTTGTGTGTACTTCTCGGTCCATTCAGATTACTGATAATGTCACTAAACTCATATTGTTGTGAGTGACTACTTGTTTTTGGGATGCTAGTTCCTTGCTTGAATAGTTTGGATCACAACATGTCTACTTTATGGCAGCTTGTGTACTAATGTTTGCAAGGTTAACATCTTTAACATAGGTTCATGAAGTTGGCTTATCTACTCTCTTTAAATCTTTGTTATATTATGGGTGGGCAAAACATAACACACAAATTGTGCATTTAAGTACTTTGTCGGTATGCAAGGGATAATTTAATGTTTCAACGACTGGCGCGCGCACGCGCGCACACACACACACATCCTAACCAACAGAAGAAGTAAAGGAAAACAGAAAAGGAAGAACTTGCGAACACGGGATTATGTTCAACCTACTTGAGCTAAATACATTAGAGTTGTGATCTGCTTCTGAGCTAATATGATTGAAGGCTTCACTAATTGCAAAAGGACCAACCGAAATTTAGTTGCTGTTACTTTTTGTTTCATTCTCTTACAATTTTGCAAACATTTCTATTAATACTCGTCCTAAATGTCCCTTGCTAATAGTTGATGTAAACACTCTTGTTGCTATAATGGAAAACCTCTCTACATATCTATTATTCTGCTAGCTGCAGAATATATATTGTTATCATATTAACAACAGAGATGGGTACCCGACAAATAAAAGGGGCAAGAGCTTCATTGTTGTTGTTGATTTTGGATTACCCCAGGTCTCACCAAAGGTGGGTCGGGGGTTTCCTCGCTATCAAAAAACAAAAAAAAAAACAAGAAGAAGAGGGCTTGCTCAGCGTTACCACATCTATAAATCCCCTAGAGTCTGAAGATTAGTAGATTCTAGCATCTTCAGATACATCATCCAGATCTCTCTCTCTCTCTCTCTTACTTTTTATCTGCACTTTTGTGGGTTATCTTGATGAAACAAAGCCCCTGCAGCTTTCCATGGTTGTGGATCAGAGCTTCAGCTCTTCTCATTATGTCTAATGGCTGTATCTTCTTCACTTTCTCTTACTCTTTTTAACACGCATGCTGCTGCCTAAAAACCCCCATTAGTTCATTGATTAGGCCTTCAACTTCAGTGATTCAAATAGGCATATGATAAAAGCATTATCATGATTCTAGGCTCAAAATTTATGAACTTGAAAAAGTTCAGATACTCCTTTATTGTACTTCTTTTGTAAGTTGATAATTAGGCTCAGATTGAAAACCACCAAAATGAATGGAAATCTGGAAGTGAGAAAGTGAATAGAAATGGAGCCTCTGGCAAGAAAGAAAATGGAACGAGAAAATGTAGAAGTTTGAGTTCTAAGCATTTTTGCGCTTTATGTATTATACCCTTACTTTTCAAGTAGGTAGTCATATATTTTGATTATATGAATGATGAATAATTTGCCATCTGTATAATTTGCCTATTGGTGTTTGTTCTGTGCATTAACAGTTGATAGTTTATCCAGGATCAAGACCTTCAGGCGGTGGAAAGCCTCTTCACTGGACATCGTGCCTTAAAATAGCCGAGGACTTGGCTACCGGACTGCTTTACATTCACCAAAACCCCAGTCTAACCCATGGAAACCTGAAGTCCTCCAATGTACTATTAGGGTCAGACTTTGAGTCCTGCCTCACCGATTACGGTCTGACCGCATTTAAAAACCCAAATACACTCGAAGAATCAAGTGCTTCATCGCTCTTCTATCGAGCCCCTGAATGCCGTGACCCCCGAAAGCCACCCACCCAGCAAGCTGACGTCTACAGCTTTGGCGTGCTGCTTCTCGAACTCCTAACTGGAAAGACTCCTTTCCAAGACCTTGTTCAAGAACATGGTTCGGATATTGTCAGGTGGGTCCGGTCAGTCCGAGAAGAAGAGACCGAGTCTGGTGATGACCCGGCCTCCAGCAATGAGGCCTCGGAGGAGAAACTATGGGTACTTTTGAACATTGCAATGGCTTGTGTTTCACTTGCACCAGAGCACAGACCCGCGATGAGGGAGGTGTTGAGGATGATCAGAGCGACTCGAGCAGAAGCTCAAGTGTCGTCGAATAGCAGTGATCATTCTCCGGGAAGATGGTCGGATACTGTCCAGAGCTTACCACGGGAAGAACATTTGAGTATATGAATTCTTCATAAAGTTGGCATTTCAAATTTTTTTGCATATGATTTTTTCTTTGGATTTGAAATCTTGTTGTTCAACTAGGCATTGTAGAGTCTATTGGGGTAAATTAAGGTCTTCATTTTTTGTTAAATGCTTTGTTTTTGTGCCACTTTGAATTAGTGTGTGTGTGTTTTTTTTTCCTTTTATTTTGTTGAGTAATTACACATTTTTACCCTCTTAACTTTCAATCAAATTTTACTTTAGTTTCTCATTTTCTAATTGCTAACAATTAAGTTCTACAATTTTAACCCTTGTTTCAATGTAATTTTCTCACTCGTTATTAGAAAAAATTGACATAATGTAATACGTGATGACCACGTAAAACACATTTTTAGGACATTAAAAGATTAGATATCAAAGTGAAATTCAAGTGAAAATTGAAGGGTGAAAAGTATAATTTACCCATGTTGTAAGAAAATCAAATCAAATTTCTACATTTCTAATATCTTTCTTCCAAACAAGGATAAATTACACAAATGGACCTAAAGTATAGCTCCTATTTCATTTTGGTCCATAATATGTAATTTGTATCAGTTGCATATCTGAATTTATCACGGCAACCACACATCAGATATTGAAAAATATTTAAAACATTTTAACATTTTTATTTATGAAAAATACTATCAATTAAAAACCCAAAACACTATTAATATTCAACAATAGAAATTATGCCGTGTCAGATTATAGAAATGTTTTTTTTTTTTTTTTTTAACCAACCCATGTCGGATGGGTATAATAGAAGTAATCGTTGGCTTGACAATTAATTTTTAGTAGTTTTTTCTTTAAAATTTTTTTTTTTTATCAAAAAAGCTGATAGGTTTGATAAAGGTTTAAAATAAATTTTGTACTAGCAGAGGTGGATGAGGAAGTTAAATGGATACAGGTTGTGCAATTGTTGATTATATATGAATTGTTTTGTTTATATACAGGGTATATGTCGCACGGAGTAAATGTAGATGGTGGAGAAATTAATAATTAAAAAAAGGTGTTGGCTTCTGTCCAGTTTTTAATCGGATTGGATCGTATTGTTGGGTTTGTGGGGGGCTCACTACGGGTCCCGTTTTGATAATCTGAACCATTCAATATGTAGAACTCGTCGAATACTATAAGGCTGTGAAAAATTACGTTAATCGGATATCGGTAGTTATATGATCAAATCAGTTTTTTGTCAATCGTTAATTTATTCATCGTCTATTTTTTTTATACAAAACTGATTTGATCACATAGCTACCGATATCCGATTAACGTTATTTTTTACAGGCTTATAGTACTCGACGAGTTCTACACATTGAACGGTTCAGATTATCAAAACGGGACCCGTGGTGAGCCTCCACGGGCCCAACAGCACAGTCCAGTCCGATTAAGGACTGGACAGAAGCCAAGCCCTTAAAAAAATATTAAGGCTTGGTTTGGAATGTTAGAAAAATTTCAAAAGTTATCAAAAAGAAAAAAAGGCAAAAAAGGTATTACTATTCACAAATTAAAAATATAAAAAAATTAATATATATAATATTTTAATACAAACTAACTTTACAGTACTGAATTGATGGGAAAGTACCGGAACAAAAAAAAATTACATATATATATTCACTAAGTTGGACGGTAATGTTGGGCCCGTGAGGGCCTACCACGAGTCCCGTTTTGATCATCCGAATTGTTCAATATGTAGAACCACAAATTAAAAATATAAAAAAATTAATATATATAATATTTTAATACAAACTAACTTTACAGTACTGAATTGATGGGAAAGTACCGGAACAAAAAAAAATTACATATATATATTCACTAAGTTGGACGGTAATGTTGGGCCCGTGAGGGCCCACCACGAGTCCCGTTTTGATAATCTGAATTGTTCAATATGTAGAACTCGTCTAGTACTATATGCCTGTAAAAAATCACGTTGATCGGATATCGCTAACTAGATGATCAAATCAGTTTTGTGTAAAAAATTGATGGTGTTATAGTTAACGGTTGACAAAAAAACTAATCCGATCAGATAGCTATAGATATCCGATCAACGTGATTTTTTACAAACATATAATACTCGACGAGTTCTACACATTGCACAGTTCCGATTAGCAAAATGGGACCCGTGGTGGGCTCCCACTGGCCAAAGAGCACCGTCCAAATAGTTGCTCGAAAAAGAGGCAACTATTTCCTGTTACACCACTCTGCAAACCTTACTACCACCGTACCGTACAACCTATACTGTCAAAACTTTTCCTACACACTAATTCATACAATTTTTTAATACACATTTTTTTGTAAAAAGTCAATAAGTTAACCTAAACATCCATCTTTTTTTTCTCAACTTTTTAGTCCAAAAAAATTAAAAATACACTTATTTAGGACATTCCAAACAAATCTTAAATACAATTTTTGGCAACCAAACGTTTACTAGCCAAAAGAATAATGAAATTGTTGGTGACTAACCACTTACTAGCTTAAAAGCAACTCAATGTTTTTAGCGACTGAATATTTGGTAGGTAAAATATTTCTTAATAGCTAAAAAAAATAAGATAAAAAAAATATTTTTTTTTGGCAATTAAAAATTTAGTAGGCCAAAAAAAAAAATTCCGACTATAGGCTACTAAATAATTAGTAGCTCAAAAAAATATATTGGAAAAAAAAATATTAGCGACTAAATATTTAGTAGTGCAAAGTAATTGAAGTCTTTAGCAACTAAATAATTTGGTCCTCAAATGTAGTATTATTTGTGACTAAAATTATCCACTACTAAATGTTTTTGTCGCTGAATGATAAAATCATATTTTACTGAAAATTTTTGGCGACTAAATTTTTAATCGCCAATTAATGATCTTTGGCTACTAAAAAATATTTAGTCGCCAATTACCTTTCCCGATAATTATTCAACAATCTGGCGACAAAATAATTTAGTTGGCAAAACCTTCAGGCAACTAAAAAGTGACTATTGACTACTAAAATTTAGTTGCTAAAAATGTCGTTTGTTACGTGCGCTACACGTGGTAAATTTCACATATTATCCTAAATTTTTATTTTAATGTTTAACCATTGGGCTATGTAATAGACGTGGTCCGAAATATCCGAAACAGAGTGCGTAATACTGATTGTAAAATCTATTTTAGATTGCGAAATAGTGTTGTTCCAAACCCTCCAGAGTAAAGTCAATTATTATTTGTGAAAGCGTTATAATGGATTGTAACCGACGATTATTCTGAACCCTCTGAAACAGAGTCTATTATTAATACACAAAACCCAATTGGAAAAAATAATCCGAGGGCTATTAGTTTTCTAGCAAGACCACTTTGAATCATCACCACTCACTTAAAGTAGATCAAATGTAAAAATATTTATTTTTTTTTATATATTTTCATGATTTTTGTTGATTTAAATATGACAAATTTTTTCTCGGTTACCGTTCATAGGGGTGTAAAAATGGCCTGAAACCCGTGAGCGGTCCGAAACTTGCCAGAGGCCTGAGGTGGGCCCAGCCCGTTACTGCCCAACTAGGCCCGAGCCGGGGCCTGAGCCCAACCCAATATCTTGGGCCTAGGCCTTTCGTTTGAAGCCCGACCCAACCCATTGGCCCACTGGCCCGACTTGGCCCAAAAAAAAAAATCGGGACCTGAGGGCAATTCGACCCAGCCAGCCCTTTCTCTCTCTGACAAAAGTCAAATTTCCAAAAAAATAAATAAAAGACAACTTGCAACAGTTAAAAAATAATAAAAATAATAAAATTAAAATAAATGCTTGATCTTGCAAAAAAAATAAATAAATAAATAAATAAAAACAAAACAATTTTTATAACAAAATAAAACAAAACAACGGTTATTTTCTTACAATAAATGAATGAAAAAAAAAATTATAATTCTACATATCTACTGCTGCCCCTTGCATGCATCACATCCATCTTCATTGAGTCACATCAAGTTGCAACTTGCAATGAAAATAAATAAATAAATTATTTGCTTGTACCTGCTGCCCCGTGCCTATCCCTACCCTTCATTTACATCATGCATCATATTACTTTTTCACATCAAGTTAAGTTGCAATGGAAAAAAAATTAATGTCTGCACTTAAAAATAAAAATTAACGGTCATATTACCGTTTAATATAATGGTAATTTTTTTTTTAAATTTATACACACTACAACAAAAAGCACCAATGGCGACTAAAAAAATGAATTTCGTCGCTGAAAGTTGCACAAATGGCGACTAAATCCATTTTAGTCACCAAAAATGAAGACTTTTGGCGACTAAAACCATTTAGTAGCCAAATGTATATGTATTGGCGACTAAAAATCAGTTTGGTCGCCTATTATATGGGTTTCAGCGACTAACACAATTTTCGTCGCCAAAAGTGATGGTTTTTGCCGACTAAAACAATTTAGTAGCCAAATGTGCTGGTTTTAGCGACTAAAAAACAGGTTAGTCGCTGAATGTGCAGGTTTTTGGCTACAAAAAAAAAATTAGTAGGTAAAAACTGACAATTGCCGACTAAAACAGGTTTAGTAGCCAAAAAGTGACATTTTTGGCGACTAAAAACAGATTTAGTCGCCAAAACTGCTTTATTTTTAAATGGAACTTAATTTTTTTGCGACAAAAAATAATTAGTAGCCGATAATTATAGCATTGGCGACTAAAAATTGATTTTAGTCGCCAAAAGTGGCCCAAATTTTTTTTTAATAAATCATTTATTTTTTACATAAATTATATTTGAATAAAAATAATTATATTTATAAATATTGTTTTGTATTAATATCGGACAATATACTATATAAATAATATATATTTCATATATATTCATGTGATGTGTAGTGGCATAGTGGAGGGAGTGTGTTGTTAAAGGTTTGGAATGTTGGACGGCTGCCGTTCGAAACTCAGAAACAGCAAGAAAATGGGATTTTTTTTTGACGGAAACACCTTCGGCGACTAAAAAGTTGGTCGCCAAAAGTCTTTATTTTGGCGACTAAACGGTTTAGTCGGCGTTTGATTGAGTATTGGCGACTAAATTATTAATCGGTAAATGTATGATTTTCAAAAGTGTAAAACACTATTGGCGACTAAATTATTGGTCGCTAAAAGGGCTCCTTTTTGCCGATTAAAACAGGTTTAGTCGCCAATACCTCCCGCGACCATTTATTGGCGACAAAGGCAGCGACTAAAAGTTTTAGTCGGGGAAACCCAAAACTTGATT